TATGGAGGCTGCAGATTGGAGAATCTGAGGAGAGTTGGAAGAGTTAGAGTTTTTGAAAATATTAGAAGAAGAACAGGAAAGGTCGTGAGATCACTGAAATGATGAGTGGTGGGGTGGGACATTAGGAGCCTGGGATTTTTTATGCTTCTTGAAGATGGTGAGCCGAGAGAAGTAACCAATTAGGTAAAATTAGCTATTTATTAGGGATTTAGGTGAGATTGAGATTTGAAAATTAGGAAATAAAATATATAAACAATAAATTAAAAAATATTTACTTTTCAAATAGGTAAACGGGTCAAACCCGTTAACCTGTTGGGTCAACCCGTTATTGACCCATTACCCGTCGGGTTCTGTTAACGGGTTATTAACGGGTCACGGGTCATGAACATCTGACCCTAACCCGTTTTAAACGGGTGGGTAACGGGCGGGTTAACGGATTGGGTAAAAAATTGCCAGGTCTAGTCATGCCCTTATATTTACACGGTATTTATGGAACTAATTTTGTTCATTGCTCTTTCATATTTTTCTTGTTTTCCAATGCCATTCTTCTTGTTCAACTGGATATAAAAACTTAATATATAATAACTGAACTCAAATGTTGAAAATGAAATTGTAATTAGTAGTACAAACAGTGGTTTATAGATTTTATATTATATCAGACTACAAAATACAAACTATTATATTAAGAGAGATCTCCTAACAATAAAGGAAAGGCCCTTCATTCGATAATTGGTGTTTTGGAGTCCGCTAACACCAAATTCTTCACAGTAATATCATAAATAGATATATAAATATTTGAAGAAAATTTAATTAAGTGATTTTTTTATAACATAAATATCCGAATCTTTTGATTAAGACTTTTACGGTTCACTACTTATATTCCATCTAGTATGTGCTTTTGGTGGTATAGATCAGAATTTATATGGATATGGAATTAATATTGGGTCAAATTTTCTCTTTTGCAGATAGCATGACAAACTAGGTATGTGTTTTATATTAAAGTTTGTTATGTGTTTTAAGGATATAAGGAAATAAAATATAAGAAGTGCTATTATTTGATGTAACTTTCATACATTTTCAAGCACTTTATCACGCCTTAAAACAAATTTTGCAGCAGGAAGTACTTACTTATATCCTTCAAAATTTTGTAGGAGTCTTTTATTTACAAGGCAATAGAATTCAAAGGCAGTGTATTTAACCTCCAGGCTTTGGGGAGAACCTCTTATTTCCAATTTACCTGGAGAACCTACCTCCTCTGTAATCAAGTTTTGGTTTTCTTCTTTTTTTTTTTTTTAGGAGGTATCTGATTTTAAACCTCCCCCAAATCCAGTTTAAGGACTTGGGATTTGGTCAATTCCAACTATGCTTTATCACACCTTATAATGGCTTCTACAGCATGAAGTACTTTCTTGTATCCCTCAAAAATTTGCAGGTGGCTTTTATCTGTGAGACAATAGAATTCAAATGTTAGATTTAATTTGTTCATGCAAAATGGATTGGGCATGATATGCATGATTCTTCCTGTCAATACACGGTTTTAGGATTTAATAATCCAAGCCTAAGATTTAATAACCTTAGTCAAGGTGTTAATTCCTTAAAATAATCTACTAGTTTATATTATGCAAATTACAGACTTTTAACATAGAACATTGAAGAATTATGGCAGGGCATTTGTAATTAATTTCCTTTCACATATTTGAAAATGGGAGGACTTGGTGATGATGAAGACAATCCAACCTTAGGCCGCATTGTGCCTTGCTTTAGCCTATCGCAAATAGCCGTGCAGTAATTCAGATAGACAACCACAATTCTCAGAGCATCAAATTCTAGCCCAGAAGGAAATAATCTTTCCATCTCAACCCTAAACTATCCCTACAAATTAAAAGATAAATTCAAACCCATTTTGATGAGTTTAAATAACATAAAGTCTCACCCACAACCACTAAAAGGTAGCCCAAATGCCAGAGACAATTGATACCCTATCCATGCCCCCCAAAAATGCAGAAAGATTCCAGCAATTTTACCATGAATCAAATGATTCAGTGATATTAGCAGTTATACACGTCCCAACAGTTGGGTGTCAAAATAATTATTTGTATGATCAAAATGATTAAACAAGCAAAAACAAATTTGTATGCTGATCTTTAATCATGTTAGAACAGTGCATATTTCTCTTCAATTATACACGTCACCAAAATGCAGTTTGTGCCATTTATCTGAGGTATGTTTGTAACGGAGAAAATTAGCACATTATTTAGGATTATGCAAACTCATTATATGTTATTAATTGAAGTCTCAGAAGTAAAACAGGAATAGGAGTATATGTATATCAGTATATTAACAGCTAAATTATCCAAATTCAAAAGCTTTAATTAGCTTTCATGTTTCTCTTATATCCAAACACACATATATACTTGTCTCAAGGTAGGGGTATCTAATAAAAACATCAGGCTATATAAATTATAGAATAAAGTACATCGGATTTTAGTTACCTTTAAGACAAGCTCATCATAGCATTGTTCTACATTCACTCAAGTTTTTGCACTGCACTCTACAAAGAGGCATCCATATTCTTGACCCAACCCTTCCTTTGGGAAATCCGTTTCACTTTCGTGTGAAAGATCACTGACTATTAAATCCCATGCATAAAATAACACCTAAGAATTATTATCCATAACATCAAATAGGTCTATGAGAAAGTTTCAGATGAACTTGAAATTAAATTGCTAATTGGAGCAAAATGAAACTTAGATACAAACATTGGTCAATCAAACAAAAAATTCACTACTTCTTGAATCATATACATTATCAACTTTGTTTCTAACAAGCATCTTGATAGATTTGCAAATGTTTCCCACTATTTAACATCATATAATATCTCAATACCACAAGTTAAAAATACTGCATCAGAA